CAACTGCAGACAGAAACTGCTCAGTCCTAACTGTTGATCATGTCCGGTCAAAATTTAAGAATGTCCGGACAATACTTTTTAAAATGTCCGGTAAGCAATATTTTAAACCAGACATTTGAGATTCCCAATCGGACATGTCCGGCGCATATGACGGTTTCCGGACCCCTGTAGTTATCCATTCCTCGGTTGCCATAAAACCGAAGAGATCCAGCAGTTCCCCCAAACAGTGCTTCTTCTGTAACATCCCAAGATTGAGGTATGTCTTCATCGCGTTACTGCTGTTCTTGATGAATTCCATCACTTTGCAATTTAGTGTAGCAGTGTTTGTACTGTACAATTTACTCAAATACTATTCATACCACACTCTTCAAACTTGGCATGGGATTAAGAAATACCTAAAAATAACTACATACATAACTTAGAATTTTTTATGTTCTTGTAACTAACAACGTGCTGGGGTGTCATTGATTACTGTTATTTGCATACTCGTATTTGCAAGGAGTCGGGGTATGGTTCTCGGTAGGAAGTGACAACTTGGCGACGATTGCTTGCAGTATATACAATTTTACTTTACACACGTATGTAGATGCAAGAAACACAAACTTCTGACACTCGCACCCACAGAGATTTTTATTACATGATGTTGAGCGTTAATCACAATGTTCAGTACAAACGTTGAACAATATCCATTCAAACATAATCATTGGTAAAGGAGTTGAATTGAAGAGCTGACGTTGAACGGTAAAGACGACTTCAAAATACAACTTCAAATTATGTTTACGTTCTAAGGCGTTATAATGAGGCAATTTCAGTCTCGTTATAAGACGACTATCTTTGTTTTCATTGTTTACGTTGAATACGTTGGTGGGTGAGGTTCAGAAAACTAAAATAGAAAGAAAATACAATCCTTACTTTAGGCTGAACCAATTAAATAGTCAAAATTACCAATTTAAAAGAATAACAAACAACTGTCTGACAAAATACTCAAAATTGCTAACAACTGCCAAATGGTTACTGAATTGAAGTTATAAATGTATTGAACACTTGAAAGATAAAATAATATTAACTTTGGCATTGAAAGTATGAGTCAACTTACATTTGCGTTGCTTTACACTTTGGAGAATGTAACCGTGGTCCTAACAAGATGGAGATTTGACTGATTGTGTGGGGAACATGTGCTTTTTAGATCATGTGACTTGAAATGGAATTGAGGCTGTAAACAAGTAATTAATTTATCTGCAAAAGTTTATTGAGAAATGGGGATTTGAACTCACAATCTCTAGGTTTCAAAGGTCATGTGACATATTATGACCAAACACTTTATCCACTAAGCCAAATTAAGTGAGGGGGTTCAAATGAAGATGACTTTAAGTGGAACAAATATTTAACTAAGAAAAACTTTGTTTTTTAAAAATAAATGAAACTTAAACCATTACCAAAATATAGAAAATGAACTTTAAACAAAACTCTTGAAACAGATGAAAAACACCATTTCTGCATTTACAACGTAGATAAATATATATACATACAAAAAACACTATGTGCCAGTCAACTATGTTCATTCAGACAATGGTTGTCATAAATCAGTCACTATGACACAACAATCCCATCTATATAAGCTGTCTGTATTTTCAATCACTTTTGAGCAAACACTGTCATTCACCTCGAACTCATTTTGGAGTATCCAAATTAAGCTTAAAATTCCCCTGATGACTCCAAGAGTTCAAAATATTAAAAAAAACATCCACATACCCACACAAAAGTTGGTATTGACTGACTTTGAGATAGCCATAAATACAGCAACGGCAGGATCCTTTCTAAATAACTGAACAGCACATGTCAATATGCAATGGATCAAATTAACAAGCACACCTCACATCAAAGGTACAAGCTGATTACTTTTATACACATCGGCAGCAAGTTACTGGAGTGTTCTCATATGACTTTCCAGTATGTAGTGAGAAAATTGAGAAATGAGGAAAACCATTAAGATAATGTCAGTGAATTTATTCTTCGGGTTATGAATTATGATTTTCAGAAGTTAATGAAAAGAAACATGAAATACTCATATCCCCCACCAATAAAACATGTTCGGTTAGCCCTCCGGAAATGAGCACTACTGCCATTTTCAGTCTAAGTCAAAGTCGTTGCCATGGAAACTTGATAAATAAAATTTTCGAAAATCCCAAACTATCAAAAGGCACCAGTCCACAACTGGACCTATCTATGAGCCAAGTTTGGTAAAGTTATCTCTCATGGTTTTTTAGTTTTTCTCCGGAAATGAAATGTGACGGACAGACAGCACCCATTCCTATACCCCCCTTCCACTTTCAGGCAGGGATAATTAGTACAGTTAGTAACATGGCTAAGCAATCTAGCCCAAACACATGGCAGACTGTTATGTCAGACGTTTTTCAACTGAAAACAATCCATATTCATAGGTGATATTACAATTCCTTTTAAGCCTTTGCGAAATGGAGTACTTTTTGAAGCTGTTACGATGTGATATTTAAGTGTTTGTGAGTACAAAAACAATGTTTTTTTAAATGTTACAAATGGTTAAATGAATTATTTAAAACGATATCACATGATATATGTGTTCTATTATTCATTACAATATGGTCATCGACTTTGAAACATAATATGCAATCACAGATGACTAGATTACATTTAATAATCTCTCATAACATGATGTTGGTTTGGGGAAATTCACTTTGTTGGTTGTCTTGAACCCAGGATAACTCAAACCTTTCTCAAGCCACACAAGTTTGACACAAGGTTCGAATGTACACCAAAAGCAATATCATACATTACCCTGCATAACTCATATTTTCTGCACAATAAAATATTACATGCAGAGATGTCTGTATAATGGTCCACAAAATCATTTTCATGGCCATGTTTAAAATTGGATTGGCATTTTGTGAACATATTCTAAGGATACCATAACTGGCTTCATTCATACAAAGTTTCTTCTGTATTGGCCTTATGGTTTCAGTAGAGAATTTGAAAAACAAAAGTTCGCAATGGATGGACAACTGGACAGACAATGCACAACAATTTCAGTCAGGTGAGCTTGATACACACAACTCTGAAAACTGAAACTTAGTGTCTCATGGTTTGATTAAGGCATCATGATCGGCATGATCATCTGTTGATGATGATGCACAAATAAATTTCTTTGGTTTATCAGTGTTTCTGAGAAAAGTTTAACATGCTCAGGGAATGTACCTTGGTCTATATATCTGCAAGTTCTAGGGGCACTGGATCATAAAGTTTGGGGTCCCAAGCATTAAAACAGGGGTCCAGGGTGATTACTGTTGTAACAGCCAATATAATGTGATGCCTTATGCTTATAATAGATGGGGATTTCTTTGTTTGAATCAAATCTTAGTGATTGAGAGAAGGAAATCTAACATGTTATGTCTGAACACTGATTGTACTTCTTATGAGAAATGAAATATATGCTAAGTATATATGTACATACATCAATAAAATCAGTCATCCAACAACCATACTCCTTAGTGTCCAATAGCATGCACAGTGGACCTTACTTTTATCCATTCTCAATTTTTATGAGTACAGGATGAAATATTTTGTGTCTGGTAAAACCCAACATGCTGAAATTTTACACAATAACTTTTTATTTGTTAAGTACAATGTAATATCAGATTCGAAACTCTTGAAGAAATCATGATGTCATCATTGATGGTAACAAGCATTTGAAGTTCAAGCTTCACTGGTCCATTGGTTTCTGAGAAGATGTTTACGTTTGACGATGCACAACCTATTTTCCAATGTGGCTACTGGTTACCATACTTGATTCCCAACCCAGATGCCTTGTATAATCTTGGAACTACATATGGTGACCATCTCATGCAAGCAAGCTTCAGCTGCCATTTTGAATTTGCAATATTGATATCTCAAACAAATTTGAACCCTCTAATAGTAAAACACATCCACACAAAATTTCAACTGAAACCATCACTTTTGGAGAAGAAGTTGAAAATGTAAAACGTTTCTGAATGACAACGGGCGACATATGGTGACCTAAGGTCACATGGCCTTTCAGGCTACGTGAGCTAAGAAAGTTGTCTCAGTGAAATGGAAAACAGAAAATTTACCACAAAGCAGACATGCAATATCAATATATTTGACAAGTGATGACATTGTAAACACAACATTTTTCCAGATATCCTGATAAAGTGTCTGCACATTGTTTCCATTTTCTGGGCTTCTGAGAACAAATATTTTATTAAATTTCCTTTACAGTGACAATGTCAGTGTTGAGTCTCAATACCTCTATAGCCTGTGGTTTCAGAGAAATAGTATAAATCATCTACATCTGCAACTGAATGACATTTATGATGCCAAAAACTTTATTGTCGTCACAATTTACACAATGTTTTAGTGGATAAACAAAGATAAAGAAACCCTTTTTATATTTTCTTTTTTATCATTCTGGAAAGATACTACAGAGAACCATTAAACAAATTTAGGTTCCATCATTTGTCTGAACATTTACCAAGTTTCAAAGCTTCTTCAATCTCATGATTTCAGTGGAAGATATGTCAACAGATGACAACAATGGATCATGGAAAGACAGACATGGCTATACCCATGTTAGCTATGAGGAGGTGTTACAAGGATGACAGCAAAAACAGAAGATGAGCTAAAGTGTCATAACATACACTCACTTTAGCCTTTAGTCAAGGTAAAATTAGAAGCAGAATTCTGGTGAATCCCATTGCGATTCAAATACTTTAGGTTATGTGAAATACATTTTTAGTCAGATTCAATTATCACAATTCATCGAATTTGGATTCTCTTTCATGCATACAGTCAGGATCTTTGTATCCTGCATTTCCATCCCAATGGGATCTCAGCCAAGAATTCAGTAGATTATCTTAACTTGGTAGGGGGTGGGGGTAGAGGTTGGTGGGAAACAACACATTCTCTAAACTGCTATTATTCAAAATGTAGACCTGGGACTATCGTACCTCTGTTCCTGTATCCTACAACAAATATGAATTTACAGAAATTAAAGTGACAAGCTCTCTTTTGCAATGTAATGTTATAGCTACCCCAACTAAACATGACAATATCAACAAAATCATAATCTGTAGATGGCTGTGACTATTCTCAATATCAGGTCTTCATTAAGAACTAATCTCAAAAGGAAAGCAAATTAAAGGATTACTCGGCTCAAGCCTCTAGAATGGACTTGTTTTTCCATTTGTTTTGTAAGGTGGCATCACCCGGAAGTTAGCTACATTTACTGACTGGTTTGTTTTCATCTTGAGTGGTGTGCACCCTGGGTGCCATCAGCATCACATTGCATGGCCACAACTGGGGAGGTTTAATTTACAGTGAACCAGAAAAAAAGACATTGAAGTAATTAGGCAATATTGATGAAGAAAGGTAAAATAAACTTTGTCTTCTGTTTTCTCACAAAACATCTTTGCAGGATCACATCAATAATGTTGACAAATTTATTCTAGGCTATTTGAAGGTCATTCTGAGATTTGCGTTTTCACTGTTTTGACTTGTTGAACCAATGATTTCCCCTTGGCATTGCTTGTTGTTATGTGGGGAATAATGTGGGTATATTGGAGCGTTTGTCAGTGTCCGCAGTCAACTGTTGAACTGATGGTGAGGAATGTCAATAGCTTGGAGCTGCTGTCCATATCAGATGATGGGACTTTCCAGCGTGGATTTGTACCATAGGTTGAGTAATTTGTTGTGCTGTCACCATTGTACGCATGAAGGTGGCGGGCTTGGGCATCATGGAGGTTTCGGGATGGGACAGTTTCAGGAGGGAAAGTTTTTTACCTGGCCTGTGTCTTATCTACTTGCCAAGTGTGGACTGGATACTAAATTGTAAACACTGAATTCTTGACAGCTTCCAATACTACAGTATATGACCGTAGATAAGCCAATCTCATAGTAAAAGCCGAGGTATTAACTTGGTCATTATTTTTATGTGCGGTAGATAAGCCTGACCCCCAACCTAAAACTACATCTCGTCATGATCTGTCATCAGAAATAGAATATCAATAAATCTGTATTGAATAACGCAAGTTAATCCTGTCATTACCCCATCGGTAATAAAAAATGTTTAATTTCATATCTGGACATGTTTGTAATTTAAGTAATCTATTTTATTAATTTTAATCAAACTTTCATTCAATAATATTTACATTAACTTCGGCGTCCACCTGGTACTTACAACTTCCGTTTGCCCCGTTCCATTAGGTCTGCTTTACCACCTCACCGTTATTTACAGCAATCATGAACACCTTGAAACAAACCTTAGTTGACAGAAAATGGATACATATATCATAACTGCCATACATTGACTCAATAAAAGTAATATTAAATGTCAACATATTGTTTCTGTGATGGAAATAGAGTGATCATGCGGAAACCTCAACGGTGATTTGTCAAATTGTTCCATGCGAAAAAAGCATCCGGCAATACACAAAAGTGCTACTGCATAATCCTTGTTATGATTATCATTATTTTGAAGATACAAAGTAAACCCTGCAATTAAAATAACACAATTACATGGTGAAATTGTAATTTAAGATACTATTTTTTCCGATTATTGCATCAAAATTCATATTATTGGGTAGGTTTTAACGTAATCACCGGTAGATTGGGAGAACACGTGTGTACAGCTGATTGCTATTTCCAGCTCAGTTTAAAAGACAATACACACGGTAATTTATATCCCTGCATATAAAACAATGACTTGCATAACAAAAAATACAATTGAAATGGTAAATCATCATGTCTAGAGATGTTAAATCGCAAATTTCACATTTTCATTCACAAAGTTTGTGACAGCGTTGTTAATTCACCTGAAGCGATACAATGTTGTTTTTTTGCCAACAGAAAGAGAGTTCGATGAAAGTGTAACCCATACAAGAGCCAACCCCCTTGAAGAGAATCATTTTTCTGGTCCTCAAAATTTGGCTTATCTAGGGTCATATACGTTAATCTCGATTCAAGAACTGAATCAGTCCTGTTTCAAGACATTCAACAGTGACTAAATTCTGAATATTCATAAGTGCATTTCATTAATTCCTTGTTACTTACTGCTGCTGCTACTTAATGTGACCTAGCAAATGGTTATTAGAAACCTAAAACTGTCAGTTTCAATATTATTTATTGATTTTTTATTGATCTTGTGTGGTCGTATACCGATTTCTCAGCTCAGTTTCGTACATACCGATTTCTGGGTTAAGCTTTGCATTTCAATTTGCAAATCACCTTGTAACACTTAAATCACATTTTTAGTATTTTACACATCTCTTAATGAAAGACATGTGTCTGTCTCACATAGAAGAAATTCATCAAGATTGTCTAGAGCTAGAAACTTATACAACTTGTATGCATAATCTGAGGCACTTACCTGGTTTGAGGAAAGTATCCAGCAATATACACATACATGAACAATATTCCATAAATCTGCATCTATGCAAGAAACGTCTTTGATGTCACATTCTTTATTACATTCTGAAAGGCGATATGGTGTTTAATTCGGGATATTGCCTCGTGTCTCAGCTGATCACTTCCAATTTTGGCGAATATGTAGATCCATATAAATCCCTGTACTTCACTCCTCATTGTCACTGTGGTTACTTTCATTAAAAAAAAATGTCTCAGCATCACCTTGGGTGATAGATCTGCCATTATGTAACATCTAATCTCCATTATTGGCTAAAAGTTTGACATTGGAGGAATTCCTCAATTGCCAAATTGAGAAAATAGACCCAGGCCCGTACCACAGAGCAATGCTAAGACAATCATAACCCCCATACTCTAACATACTCTTATGACAGTTGTCTTTTGAGTTGATGATACTCAATCTCACCACAATACCCAACAAGTATTTGTCACAAAGTGACGAAATGTCCCCCACCTGTATATACACCATAGTACCAAATATGAAGATAATCCAGCGATTAGTTCTTGAGATATTGCGGCAACACCGTTTCCAACTCCAAAAGCAGATTTGCCTGCTGTGACCTTGAAAATGGGGTCAAGGTCACCAAAACCGACTGGTGTCTGCGTTGTCTGTATATACACCATAGTTCCAAATATGAAGACAATCCAGCGATGAGTTCTTGAGATATCGCGGCAACACCGTTTTCCAACTCTAAAAGCAGATTTGCCTGCTGTGACCTTGAAAATGGAGTCAAGGTCACCAAAACCGACTGGTGTCTGCGGAGTTTGTATATACACCATAGTTCCAAATATGAAGACAATCCAGTGTTTAGTTCTTGAGATATCGCTGCAACAAACAGGTGGGACGTACGGACGGACGGTCGTAAATTACTTTATACCCCGCTCCGAGCTTTCGCGCGGCGGGGGACAATAACATGCAAGGTTGACATCCCCAAACACCTTAAACACCATTGAAATCTAATATTAAGTCACTAATTCACTTGGACAACTGAACCAGATGTGATACTATTTTCTTTGAAATTGTGATCATTTGTGATCTTAACAGGCTACAATACAATATATGTCTTCAAAAATATCATTTAATAGTTAGTATACATACTTGACATAAAAATGGATTTATTATGTAACAAATAAAATATGTGAACAACTCAAAAGGTAGGGGTTTCCATCTACTGTAAGGCAGTGATGTCAGTGTATAAGATTTCCCTAAGTATTGAGCCAATGGGACTTAGAATGAACTGGGATTCCCTTCTTTCATTTGCAAACAGGCCTCAAAGCAATAGCTGTATACTGGATAAAAGCAGTGCTATTGCTTCTCGAAATATAACTTGAAGTAGTTTCTTGCTTTGTAACTATTCAAAATGGGAGTGATCGTCAGTGATCATTCAAACGAAATAGATTTTGAGTGCCTTTCATGGAGACCACATCACACTAAACAAGTATTTGTCACAGAGTGACGAAATATCCCCCGCCTGTACACCACAGTACCAAATATGAAGACAATCCAGCGATTAGTTCTTGAGATATTGTGGCAACACCGTTTTCCAACTCCAAAAACAGATTTGCCTGCTGTGACCTTGAAAATGGGGTCAAGGTCACCAAATCTGACAGGTGGATGCGGTGTCTGTATATACACTATAGTTCTAAATATGAAGACAATCCAGCGATTAGTTCTTGAGATATCGCGGCAACACCGTTTTCTAACTCCAAAAGCAGATTTACCTGCTGTGACCTTGAAAATGGGGTCAAGGTCACCAAAACCGACTGGTGTCTGCGGAGTCTGTATATACACCATAGTTCCAAATATGAAGACAATCCAGTGTTTAGTTCTTGAGATATCGCGGCAACACCGTTTTCCAACTCCAAAAGCAGATTTGCCTGCTGTGACCTTGAAAATGGGATCAAGGTCACCAAAACCGACTGGTGTCTGCGGAGTCTGTATATACACCATAGTTCCAAATATGAAGACAATCCAGTGTTTAGTTCTTGAGATATCGCGGCAACACCGTTTTCCAACTCCAAAAGCAGATTTGCCTGCTGTGACCTTGAAAATGGGATCAAGGTCACCAAAACCGACTGGTGTCTGCGGAGTCTGTATATACACCATAGTTCAAAATATGAAGACAATCCAGTGTTTAGTTCTTGAGATATCGCGGCAACAAACAGGTGGGACGTACGGACGGACGTACGGACGGACGTACGGACGGTCGTGAATACTATATCCCCTGCTTCGCGCTTTCGCGCGGCGGGGGATAATAATCCTTGAAGACATTTCATAATACAGCCTAACACGAATAGATCTAATAAATAGAGGTTATCACGTGAGTGTGTATGGGGATGGTAAATATCCTGCATTAGGAATAAACATTGTATTTAGTGAGCCTTTGATATTTACCATCCCCCAAAACACAAGCATGATAACCTCTTTATCATATAATGTCATTCTTTAATTCTGTGCTTGAAAATCGCTTTCCCTCCCTCACAAGTATTACCTAAACATTGCAAGTTTTCATGGAATGTGCTCATTATTATTTATTATGTC